AGTTGAAAACTATAGTAGTAGATACTAAGCAAGCTAACTGAAAATTTTTAAAATGCTGACGATGCAGACTGAAATGATACTGAAAGTAAAATTCTACTAATGTATTATCCACCCCTCCCACTTTTTCTTTCTTGTGAAAATATGCATATGCTATATGCGTTGTTGCATTCCACCCAAGAGCTCTAGGTTTGATTTCAGGAGAGCAGACTAGATCTGTGACGTACTGAAGAACTGTGTTCAATAATAGCCAACAAGCTGATAAATTTGCATGCTGAAAGCAGGCAAGAGAAAACTTGAAAAGAAGGATATTTAAAACCCAGGCTCTGAGATGCAGTTGATTCAGAACACTTGATATGGAATATAATCCAAAAGGTGATACCTTCTATCAGTAGCTTATTGTTTCAGTATGTAATTGCTGATTTGTTAGTCGTCTCTTTTTGGTGAAGAGGTACTGTTTACCTTCTGAATTCTTCTGCTTTTGTAGACTACTTCTGACACTGACAGAGGAGGATTTCACAAAAGAGCCTTACAGTATAGAGAACAGTAATCATAGAAAAGCTATTGTGGCGGAACTGGAATGTGTGAAAACTTTAGGCGTTAAACCACCACAGAACCTTTGGGAATATAAGGTAAATTTTAGGTAAAGTCTGTCATGTATATTAAGTGTTTTTAAAATAATATCTTTAAAAGAAAATTCTCTTAAAGCCAGGAGGAGTGTTAAGGTAGTAGAATTATCCTTGTAAAAACTGCTCAGTTTAATGAACTGTTGTATTTGAAAAATGATCCTTTGAAAAATGATTGTCAGAAAAATCTAAGAACTGGCATGTCCCTTGCATTTTATTTTTTCATTGTTTGAAACTTGATAATTTGATACTTTTCAGGCAGTAAATCCAGGAAAATCACTCTTTCTTCTGTATGCACTGAAGAGTTCTCCAAGACTCAGTATGTTATACCTATATCTGTTTGATTACGCAGAAGCTTTCCTACCTTTCATCCACACAATTTGCCCTACACAAGAAGACAAGTATGAAGATATTGTCACAAAACTACTAGTAAGTGTTCAAAACATTAAATATGCTACTTGCTTTAGTTATAAGCATTTTAAGACTAGCAGCATAAAACCACGATGTAATTATTCGCTATTTCATCTCTTTACAGTACAACTTTTAACACTTACAAAGTAGGCGGTTCCTTGATTTTATTGTATGTGATCACCAGTGTTGTGACCATTACCTTTAATAAGATGGATTTAAGGCTTTTAAGACTTCAAATCTGTGAAACTTTTTTTTTTTTTTGAGGTTCACATGACTATAGAAAGGCTCTTCACTCAAAATATCTGTACTTTAACAAATGACATTATAAGGTCCTGCTGTCTGTGATGTTTTATTCTAATCTAATGGAAATTACTGGGTTATAGTATTACCTACCAGAAGGTATAGTAAAGATAAATAATTGCTTTTAATATATGAAAAAACAATTTTTCAACAAAAGAGTAGTGGAAATAAGCCAGTGTGTGTCTGTTTAATAGGAAATTGATTAACTGTCTTTTTATCCTAATTTACAGGACCTTAAAGATCCTTCTTGGAAACAGTGGAGAGAATTCATTGTAAAGTATTTATTTTTGCCATACCAGTTGATAGCTGAGTTTGCTTGGGATTGGCTGGATGTGCACTACTGGACATCAAGATTTATAATTGTAAATGCCATGTTGCTCTCCGTTCTGGAATTATTCTCCTTTTGGAGGCTCTGGTCAAGAAGAGAATTGAAGTAAGTCTTACTGAGCTTGTTGAAGAGGGTAGGAAGTACATGGCCTTATAAGAAAGAAACAGTCTTACGATTTCTCAGTTGCTCACTGAAATGAGAGTGTCTAACCACAACTCTGAGGTTAATAAGAACACGTGAATCTGAATCCGCACATATACCAGTACTCACTCTTGAATATCTTTATTTCTGTGAATACTTGAAAAGGTTTCTTAATAGCTGGTTTTCCTGATCAGATGTAGCAAATGCCATAACGGTAATACGCACATCCTTAACCATTGGGTAAATATTAACTCGTACCTTGAGAATTGCCTTTTATGGTAACTGGTGTTAGCTGGCAGCTGAGAGCTAAATACGTAAGAATTTTGTCATGATATGCTTACAATATAGTTATTAAAGGATGAGTCCTTAGGATCATAAATAAATTTAGTTATACTGATATTATTTCTGACAGGTGATCAAAATTGCTGTTTTCAGTTACTGCTTTAGCCTTAATTCAAGCATATTAATATTACTTCATAATTGCTGTGATCTTTTATTTATAGATTTTAGAACTTGCATAGGAGAAATAGTTGGTTTGGTGTATACTGGGTTTTCATTTTCTCTGCCAGCAGGTAGGGGGCAGAACATGTTCAAAAGAGAACAGGGTACATGGAAATAATCTATGACAAATCTGGAATTTGACCACGTTAACTTACTGTGCTTTGTGGTCTGAATAAATTGACTTGATGTTTCCTCATATAAAATCTAGTATTACTGTATTTTAAGAAAGTTCTTCTGGAGTGCAAAATGACATTTTACAGGTACCTGAGTAAGTGCTAAATAATTTGAGGCTGCAGCACATATTAGCTTTTCTTAGAATGGGTAAAAATGAAATGGAAAGTTCCTCTAAGCCTCTCCCTTTCCGTTTTCACAGGACTATTCCTCACAGAATGTGGAGACATTTCTGGAAAGTCTCAACCCAGGGTCTTTTTGTTGCCATTTTTTGGCCTTTTATTCCTCAGTTTGTCTGCAATTGTTTGTTTTACTGGGCCTTGTACTTTAACCCAATTATAAACATTGATCTTGTGGTTAAAGAAGTAAGGCGTCTGGAGACACAAGTGCAGTGACTGGCATTGGAACTTTTGAGCTGTTTAGCTTCTGAAAATGGACATTTGAAATGAGCTTTGCTTTTCGCCTTTATATATGTGGCAGTGAAAGTGGTGGATTATGTTAACTTAAACATACAAAAAAGCCTTAAGGTAAGTTACTCTTAAACCAGCTGATTTCAGCTCTGAGGATGGGCTTTATTATCCAAAAGGAATTTTCTGTTGGAAAAAAAATGACATTCCTAATTTAGCCATGTAAAACTTACACAGTCACGTCACCCTATTTTTGATCACATCAAAACTTCTCTATTCTGTCTTGAGCATCCTGGTTATTTTCAAGCCTGCCTTAAAATCAGTGTTTTCTGAACAGCTACAGTGATTTTTTTTTATTTATTTATTTTATTTTTTTTAACTTAGCATTTCATACCAGCAACATGCTCCTCAACTTAAGTTTGCCAAAGGAAAGCTCTTCCTGGATAGGCTCAATATTGAAAGTACTTTGGTGTTTTCAGTCTGCTTTTACATGTAAAGTTGTGACTGTCAAATACACGGTCTCATAGTAGAGTTTGTTCTAAACTTTCCCCCTGTTGAAGGCAAAGACTGCTTGAGTTTTCTTGTCTTTTGGAAAAAGTGATTGCCATTCAAAATTTTTAATTGAGATCAGTTAGACTTCACCAATAGCTTCTTTAATGCTCTCCTCTTGAAGTCTCTTGCTAATTCTGAAATTCAGGGTTATCCCTTAAAAGGATTATTTTGGAAAAGTGACCTGACACTGCAGTTACATCTTATTGCAATATAATATGTGTATCTAAATCTGTGAGTGAATATTGACTGGAAAGTTATTTTGTATAAACAGGATTGCCATTTCTTAATGTATTGGTTTTGTCTGAAGCAGACGTTAAGATTTTCAAGAGCTTTGTCCCCTTGCATTCTACATTGTTGGTTTTTTTTTTCCATTTGTATCATTGAGATAAACTTTAAATTTGCCTATGAATATTTTTAAAGATTAAAGATCTCTTTTGAAATCTTCATCCTTCCTAAAGAAGTGTTGGTTTGGTTTGCTGTTTGTTTTTTTTTTTAAATATTGAAGTACTTGTCACTAGCTTTGACTTGCGTAAATTTGTTCTGTAGCCCTGCAAGTAAGTGAGGTGGGTGAAAGTAGACATTAAATACTCCTGGTTCTTAAACTGTTAACATGAGCAGTTATGAAGAAGTGTATTATTCAGCAATTTGTGTTACTGATTTCTCTTCCTGAAAGGTTTCAAAAAACTATAAAATGACCCTAGCTAAAACCATCTATACATCCTTATGAAGTATATACACTTCTTTGCAAACTGATGCTGTCCAAGATCAAACACTTAGGGGAAAGGCAGTTGGTCCCAGTAACTACTACTTTTTTCATGTATCTGTCATGATGATGGTTTGCATTTGCACTTTTAAATCTGGCTCTGAAGTTTTAAGGGTAGAACTTCTCCCTGTGCCGACAGGAAACTCAAGGTGTACACAGAGTAAGGAGCTTGAGCCCTATCAAACGAACAGCTTTGTAGAAAACTGTATTTAAAAAGTAAATACTAGAAAAAAAGAATTATATTAGTCAATTTTTAATACAGGTAGGACTACTTAAGGTGAATGAGATGCAAAAGTTAAATTAGGCTTCATAATAAGTGTTTTAATACAGATGAGAGGGCTCTTTGTGCTGACGCCGTCGCTTCATGCATTTCTTCCGGTCAGTTCGAAGTTAACAAATGTTAAGGTAAGCGTTAGTGGAAAAGTTTGATTTGTATCTTACAGCCAGTGGAGGGGGGAATCAAAGTTTACATGAATGATGATATGAATCTGAAAACTCCATGAATCTGAATATAAACAAACTTAATGTTAAGTCAGTTACTCCTTAAGCTGATAAACTCAAATTCCTTTTTAGTCAATAAAAGCTTACACAGAACTAATGAACTTGCTTTTAGTCCATGCACTGTAGAAGGTAAACAAGAGGAAAAATGTTTACTTTGGCCATTCTGGGGTGAAGAGGCTGAGGTGGCAGGAAGGAGGATCAAGAAGGAGGAAAATCACTTGTTGTCACTACTGTGACCAAAAAAAAAAGTCATTTTAGATTTAAATACGTACAGAGTTTTCATAAAGACTGATGTTGCGTACCTAATATCTACACAAAGGCTGAATCTCACCACACATAAAGTCTGGCCACAAAAGGTATTTTGTGTGATAGGGAGATTTAGAAAAACATTTGGCAGCTTCACGGTCACATTCACATGCCATTTTTTGACATTTGTCTTCTAGAGATTCTGAAAGAAAACACAGTAAGTTTGATGTTAGTCTGAAGTAATTAAAAATATCAAATGGGATGCCAAGAATTGCTACCTCACGTTCCATATTTGCCGTATAAACGGCTGTTCTATTTCAAGTGCAATAGGAACCGTACTGAGCTTTAGTAAGACTTGCAGTTCTTTCATGTTCTTTAGGCAGAGCTCCATGCTAGGACATCTCAGCAACAGAGGATATACAAGCATGGTTTGGTTTAGTGACAGTTGATCATCAGTGGAACTGTCTTGGCAGGTGAAAATATAATAATTGGATAAAGACTTAAATACTCTTCACCTTCTTTAATAAAGGAACGCTAACAACTGATTCCTCTTTAGAAAGTGGTGTGTGACCCTCCCTGCCCGCCCCTTTGCTCTAGTGAAACTTGAGTTTGGGAAGATATTTTCCGTTTCACATATGTTTTAATCTACTAAAGGATGTAGCATTAAAATTATGGATGTGAAATAAGGGATGGATGCAAAGATGTTCCATGTTCAGCGTAAATCGCCCACCTTTGTTATTAAGGCATTCAGTAAGAAGTTAGGTAAAGTGTGTTTAAGGACAATAAAATCCATGTCTGGCCATGCTTGTTTTATAATTGTAGTGTTGTAACTGAACAGATTTATTGGCATGAGCGTTTCTTCTTGGCATGAACATCATCTTCTACAGCAATATATTTTGGTTTTATTGTGCCAACCCAGAAATCTGTGTGTTTTCTCTCTGCAACTGTCAGTAAACTGAAAAATGCTTGATTGTATTTTGTCAGAGTATTTAACATTTTGAAAGCTTAGCTGAATCTCTGCTTGCGATTTGTCTAGGAGCAGAACAAGTGTTCAGTTTTGTGAATGAACTCAAATTCTGCTGTGAAATGGAAGTGTTCTTAATGTATATATGTTGATGCTGCAACTAGCTACCCTAAGAACTACTAAATAGCATAAGTAGCATAAACAACGTGATAGGATTAAAAAAAAAAAAAACAAACATTAACTGAAAAGAACTATTCTTTCTCTTATTGCTCCAAACTTGATCTTCTCATTGGAAGCATTGGTAGCATTGGAACAGGCTGCCCAGGGAAGTGGTTGAGTCTCCATCCCTGGAGGTATTTAAAGAACGGATAGACGTGGTGCTCGAGGACATGGTATAGATGGACTTGGCAGTGTTAGGTTAACGGTTGGACTCGATGATCTTAAGGGTCTTTTCCAACCTTGATGATTCTATGATTCTCCATGGTATGCCAGGGACTTTGTTTCAGCTTTGTTTCTTGATGACACACCTACTGTCTTGGCCAGTATTTTAAAATATTGCCAGCTTCTGGACTGGAACAGGAGCAGAACCTTCACAGCCAAATATAGGTGGACTGTAACTTGACAGTCAATCACGTAGCTTGAGAGAGAAGAGGCTTGGTACTTCAGGAGCAGAGGAGGAAATGAGCAAGTAGAGATTGTGCATGAGGTAGACACTTGGGCAAAGTAAAGGTTGAATGAAAAGGAAGAAAGGAAATATTGTCAAGAACTTTAATTTGATTTCAGGTCAGGCAAATTCTGAATTGAGTTATGAGAGCTTTTTGCGTTTTCTCTGAACGGCCTACTGTGTTGCCTTTAAACTATGGTAGTCAGAAACTCAGACTCAGAGTAAACAAGTTAATATAAAGGTCTGCGTTTTTGTGGTGCAAATAATAGCCAATTCTCAAGCTGATTTGCATTCTAGGTAGTAGCATAAAACTACATGCAAAGTAACTTTGACCTAGCACCTGATTTAAAAAAAAAAACAAACCACAAAGCAAAAATGAAACCTAACAACAAGAAGAAAAAACCCTGCAAATTTTGGGGGCTTGTGAGAAGTTATAGTTTCAAAAAGTCTTTGAAGTGTATCAGAAAATATTTTGCTAAAACTTTGGGAGTTGTGAACAAATAATGAAAAGAAATGCTGCTTTTTCCTGTTAAATTTTTTTTTTCTTTCTTTGATATCCTTGTCCTTCTCTTTTATACTGTAATATGACAAGTATATTACAGTCATATTTCGAAGCAATTGGACAAAATTTATCAGGATGCAGTCAGCCATCTGTTGCAACTGGTACACTAATTATGTAAATGTTTTCAAATTAACATTTTATGGCTTGTGGACATGTTACTTCCGTAAATAAACATACTCATCAAATATTTTATTACCTCAGTGTTTGAAATTGTAAGTTGTAATTGTGAATTCATTCATAAATTGCAGCCGTTAGCAGTGGGCTGTGCAACCGATCAGTGGTAAGTATGGCAAAAACTTGTCCATCGTAAACTTATAAATGGTGTGAAATATTTTCTGCTAAGCATAAAGAGGATCTTTCTTAAACAGTTGTAATTTTCTTGCCTCCTGTTTGTAGTTGCTCTCCAGTTGGAGACCTGCAGGGGATACCGTAACAAGGGTTCTTCAACGTATGGAAGTGCCGAGTAAAAAGAGGGATTTTTTTGGTAGTGTTTTCTGAAAGGGTAGTAGAAGCTTGTAGATGAGAATTTTGTTTGCTTATGCATGTCGGTAGGTGGGGATTAAGAAGAAGAAACTGCATTCAGTTGGTTGGCATAGCTGTGCTTTCTGGAGGCACAGCTTACCCTGGCAAAAAAGTCACACAAGGAAGGATGGTAAAATAAGAGTTTTACAGTTAATTAAGCAAATGTCTTTCTATGAAGGCAATGAGACAATCAGTAGAAGTAAAAAAAAAAAAAAAAAAAAAAAGGAAAAAAAAAAAAAAAAAAAAACAAAAAACCCCCACCAACCAAAAACTAGAACTGTTCACTCACCACACACAGCAGCATTGTCTTCACATTCCCAGTGGTAACTTTCTATCTTGGGGTGACAGCCCGCTCGTTCTGCCTTACCATAGCAGCAGTCGTGCCTAAAGCAGCACCTGAGAGAAACAGAAATGGGCTTGCCTTAATTTGTACTGTGGTGATTTATGGTTACATAGTCTGGATGTTTTTATCAGCATGTTTCTACAGGCTGTGAAATAATAAGACAGTCAGCATACGTGAATGTACAAACAGTTACATGCTCAGGAATCAAAACAAGGTAATTGTTTACTAGATCACCTGGAAAAAATTACTACTCTTTCATGTAATCAATGATGAGGAAAATGTCTGATACACATGGATCTAGTTGCCCTTCCTCATAGATGAAAATATAAGGAATCTTTAAAGCATTCTCAGTTTTGAACACAATAAACTTTTATGTGGGCATGCCTCCCTCCTAGCCCCTTCCAAGAAAAAGATTAAATGCCAGAATACTCTGTCAGATAATGAAGGATGCGTTTTTCTCCCAGTTATTGATGCTGTTGTAACAGTTACTAATAGGGAAGGGACAAAAAGATTTGTTAGGCTGTAGCATACTATCATAAATGTCGTTTCGTAGCAAAGTCCTTAGATGGTGGCAGAAAAGCTGAGAGGAAAATGGAATTTTATTCAGGAATAAATAGGCACAGGTGCTGTTTAATGCCATAATAGAACTAAAACTGTTTACTCGGTATCATGAGAAAATTTGGAAAACTGCCCAAAATGATGATTTCAAAATTGTCATAATTGGGACAATGAATTCATAGACTTTCTATCGTGTTGTGGCACTGAACAGTACAGGTAAGCATTAATAGCATGTTTTAATGCTTAAAAAAAAGAATTACTCTTCTGGTGTAGAGTCATTGCAAGGCCAGAATAGCAAGTGGGGGAGGTAACGAAGATCTGAAATTAGATAGCTTTTGAGTTTTTTCTTTTTTTTCTCTTTTTTTTTTTTTTTTTTTTGGCTCAGTGGAAGAACAGGATCTATCTGTGAGCTCTCTGCATTTACTCATTCAGTTTCCTCCTGGTAGCCTAAAACCATCATGTTACAGTAAGCACATGATGTTTCGATGGTGTTTAGATTGCCTGAGGAATTTGTGTCTGCAATAGAAAAAGTTAATGCTGTGAGCTCTCACTTGCAATTACTGTTTTTTCCTGTGCTTATTAAATAATTACTTGGTAATTCCAGATGAATCTCCATTTAAAGATCCTGCAGTATGTAACAGTTGAACAGCACCTGCCTGTGAAGTAGCTCGATACATCCATCTCATGTGTAGAAATAAAAAAAAATAAAGATGATTTCTATTGAGTCTTTGTAGCAAAGTAAATAAACCAGGAAATATGGCTTCTTTTGCCGTAGTGCAGTCTGTCTTCACGTGTTTACAAAAATTTTTAGAATTACTTTAGTCCTTTTTTTAAGCATTTTAAATAAAAAAAGATGCTTAAGTATTTTACATTTTATCTTACAAAAGCAATATATGATTGTCTCCATTTGAAAGTTTATAAGAGGCAGGCAAGCATCTAAATTGCAATAACTATTGTTTGAATAATTCCATTACAAACATTATTACTTCAGATTAAGTATTCCTGCGTTTTCAGGCATAATTCTGAATGTAAACGGCCCACAACGTAGCTCAAAACGTTAAGAAATCAAACTCGGTAAGAACGTTTGTCTCTACATTCAGTTGGTGCAATTCTTGATTCTGTTCAAACGCAGCAGAGTTAAGTACACTCACCTCTGGCTTGTTCTTAACGTTCTGTAGCTATTAACACCCAGACCACAAATAGGTAACCATGTTTTGTGAAGAAGCAGCTTCTTGCCACTGTGGGACTTTCACAAAGTGACAAAATGGCCTACGCTGAAAGACTGGCAAACTGCAGATTTTCCATCATTCTCTCTAGGTATACAGCTGAGCGGAACTAATCATAGTCCCTTCTTTTTGTATGTGTTCCCAGTCATTAAAGTAGCAACCACAGTCTACCAAATTTTCTTTAAAATAACAGATTACACGTACAAAAACTTGAAATATGTAGGCAAAGATTCTAAAAGTTTTAGGTCTAATCACGACTAGAATCTTTATGCAAAAAAAAAAAAAAAATCAGATTTGAACTTTCCATATATTCTACCCTAAATGTGAGTATCAGGCGTTTGTTTTCCTTTTAACTTACAATATATCTGTCTTGATACGTCAGAACTTGAGATGTCACAGACAGTGGGAAATGTATCATGATAATGATAAACTTGAAGATATAAAACGTTTATTTAACTACTGTAACCAGAAAATCATCTTCCTGTCAGCTAATTATAAATCCAATTGATGGTAGTCAGTATGCTGAGATTTAGTAATAAATACAAAGGCCTGGTTTTAGAATTATTTTAGTAACAATTCATAATTCCTTTTATTCAAGTCATTTTTCAACAGGCTGAATTTGGTATGATTTTCTATGTATTATTTTGAATACTAATAAAATGCGATGGCCAGCAGTAGAATCAAAAGATTTTTCAATTGTGATTTTTTTTTTTTATTTGTATAGATAGCTTGAATGTTTGAGCTTTAAAGATTCTCCAAGAAGACTTCAGTTCTTCAGCTCTTGGCCAAACAGCAAAGAAACACAGTTGTACTGTGAAGCCAGTATTAATGCAATGAGAATTTGAGGTGACGGCAAGTAAGACTCCTGTAGAGCTACAGTAACATGATTTTAATGCTTCAGAGTTTCTTAGCGGTCTGAGGTGCGTTTAAACTCAGTTCCCTCACTGATGTTAAATAGGCCTAATTCATATTTTAATCCTTTTACTCTGTCATCTGCATACATTCAGCACTTAATTACGCAGATAAATAGGTACTCTTACCAGTCTACTCTGTCCTTAGGCCATCCTCTTCCTCCCAGACCACAGTAGCATCCATAACGTAGGTAGGCAAAAGGAGATCGTCCTGTAGTACATCTAATGGCTCCGGCTAATTCAAGAATTCCTCTTCGATTTCTAAAATGGGCTTCCCCAAAAGTGCCTTTATAAACTGTGGAAGAAAAACTCTTTGTTTTTTATTGAATCAAACATGCAGATATAAAAGAGGTTTTGGTTTTTTTTTTAAACTTTGCAAGTACTGACATTCATTATCAAATAGTACAGTTTTCTTTTTGCCACTTGAGGGCCACAGTGCTTGACCCAGTCCCTCTTTACCCCAATCTAGAGAGACAATGCTGAACAACATTCTGCGTAGCCGCAGTGGTTTCCACCCACCGAGGCAGGATACAATGGCAGACTTCAGTCATTTCCAGCCTTAAAACTGGCAAGGGCTAGCATGTGTTCTGCGGTCTAGGTCCGCTAATCTGCTAAGATTAGATGCCCTAAGCGTTGCAGTATTTTCTCCTTATCGTAACATGCAATTTTGCCCATGTTATTTTGTAGAATATAAGGCTTTACATATGAACAACATACGCTCTATGGTGGGGTTCTGCATTTCCTCACGTTTAGACAAAGCCAAATAAGTGGTGGAGGTGAGGGGGTGTAGAGCAGGGAAATGGGAGGGTGCTTGGAGTCATTTCCAGGGAGATCAGAAGAAGGGTTGCTTATTTTTTTTTCTGTTACATTTTGCTTGGGTTTTGTTGTTGTTGTTCAATGGATTCTCACCATTATTCCTCCAGAACAAGACTGTATTTAGGAACTTTATTTTAACTATCCCGTGTCAGTACTTAAGCAGTAGGTCCAGGGCAGCAGATAAATGTTGAGACACCAGATGATTTTTTTTTTAGGGCTTCACGTCATCCTTCAGGTTGAGCTAATGCACCGAAGACCCTGAATGGCAATAGGCAGCATTTGCTTGCAGTGCAGGCTCCACACTATTTGCAGCAATTTTTAAGAAATCGGATGAGTACAAAATAAATTAGTAGAAGGCTGCTGATTAGAGTTGTCTTACTAATTAAACTAATAATTTCTTTTGGTATGAGAACAGTTTATAAACCTTAACTCCCAGTACTGGATACAGACTGGGAAAGACATTAAGCTTTAATAACTGATAATATCTGTGAGACAGCAGAAAAAATATTTAGACTTTGTCACTGAAAGCTTTGATATTCATTTTCCTACAGAATAACTATATGATTATGCAGTTTGTATATAATTTGTGTAATCATATAATCTATTATAATAGACTGATAGACTAATCTATTATAATAGATTATATGATTAACTATAATCAGTTAATGAAAGATCTGTCAGAAAAATATTGTTCCCAGCACAGCTGAGTAACCTGAAATGCATGGGATGCTGGTGACCTCCAGCACTCTTATTTCATGAAACAAAGGGATTTAAACACCTCATGAAATCACCTCACTAAGAAATACAATCGCTTTGTATGTGAGAATGATTTAAAAAAGCTTTAGAAAGAATGTTTGTAGCTAATCCTTACTCACGAAAATAGCTAGGCTTCCTAAGGCAGTATTTAGCACTTTTCTGCCTGGCGACTACTCCCAGATCTCGTTCCCTCCTGCTCTGTCGGCACATGATCGAGGGAGAGGAGAGGATGTTGAAACGAAGAGTGCTTAAACTTGCATATGCATCTTTGGCCACTGATGAAAAGCAGTTGTATCTTGAGGAGTTTTAAAAAAAAGCTTCCTCAGCTATGTAGTCACTTTCAGTTTAATTTAAAAACTCTTTATTTGGCACTAAAACTTCCTTGCAAAGAGAGTGAATAGTATCTATTGTGTCAGAGCTCCCATTCCAGGATATTGTCTGCTGTTTAGTTATACAGGTTTTCTGGTAAAAAGATCCTCTCCCGCTTTCCCAAAGGGCCCATAAGGTGTTCCGGGTGGACTCTTTGGAACCTGTCGTTCTAGGTGTCAAAATAACAGCCACGTTGTGGAACTGAGACATGATCGTCTCCCATTCCGTTGCAGCTCTGAAGAGATGTTTCAGCTCCGGGTAGCAGAAGCATCCATCTGAGTATAACCAGATTCTTATCTTTATGAAGTGTTCAAACTGTCATCTTCACTGTCAGTACAGGTTCAGTAAATTCCCAGCTGAAAAAAACCCTGCAGTAAGGCTGCAGCATTACAAATGACAACTGCTTATACTCTTAAATGTTTAGTAAGATTTGGCTAGACTCTTGTAGCTAGCCAATAATGTCTGAAGGAACCATGTTAGCGGTTGATGGCAAAGCTGGGTTTGCTCTGCATGGCGTTAGTGATTCTGAAGCAATTCCTGAAGAGTTTTTACATTGTGTCTCAGGTCCTGGCAACTGGGGAAGGATGGTGTAGGAGAGCTACGAGACAGGCAGAGGAAACTCAGAATTTCCAAGTCATATTCCTGGCTGCCTCAGCGAATTGTTTGCTAACTTTGGACAAATCCCAGTCCCTTGATTTACATCCATGAAAAGTAGAAGTTATGAACCGTCTACTCCTGGAGGAGCTCAGGTATAAATCTTGAAAATGTGCCATGTAAGTTAAAGAAAAGGACATGAACTTTTTATCCTTGCCATTTGTTTGTGTTACAGCATCTGGACACCCAGGTATAAGCCAAGGCTGTACTGTACTGTAGATACTCTGAACATGACCGAAGGAAGAGCTTCTGTCCCAACAGCTTTGTAACCCAAGTTTAATAAAAGCGACGAAAGACCATCCTCAAACACACAGAACTATGGAAACAGTAAGAGTATCAGTATGACGATGGTAGCGTTAGTCTATTAGCAACATAATAAAATTTCCGAAGTATTTAATCAGAACTTCTGTGGAATACAGTCAGAGTGTGATGAGACATTCTGCCTATTCCCATGTGTTTCATGATTAAGGTATGTTTTTAAGATCTTTGTGGTTTTGTTTGTTTTTATGAAGACTTTGCTTTTAAGGACAAGAGTATTCCTGTAGGTTTGATTATGCATTCCTGAAAGAGTAGTGCTGTCCCTCTACGTCTAGTCTGGTTTTTGGTTTTGTCATGCAGATTGTGTGCAGCTCTATCAAACACAATATTGTGGCTGGGGAAAAAGGGAGGGAACCAGATTGCATTTATTTTCATTTCATTGCTTTACAATGTGTATGAAAAAAATCAAACCCATGTTGTTTTGATATCTAGAGGTCACAAGAAATAGGTACAACTAAGAATATGAAATAATTTACAGTTAGACAATTTGAGTCTAGTCATCTTGTGGCTTTTTAATATTCTTGTAATATTTAGTTCCAGTGTTATTGCATAATAGGAATTGGAACTTTAACAAAGTTTCAACTGTTCTCATTCTTGAAAGAAAACTTTAAAGACGTATTTGGGAGAGGAAAAAAACCTTCCAAGAGGTTAGTCTATCAGCAAACTCAGATTTAACTGGATGTGACGTAGCTGCTTTAAAGGTTGAAGGGAATCCAAACCCACGCCAATCCTAAGGCTACTGTAGGCACCATAAAATAGCAAGTGGGGAAAGAAAAACCCCAAACAAATCTATGCAGTTGTCTTTGTGATTGTAATGAATAAGTTGGAGAAATCAAAAGCCGTGAGGTGACTTTCTGAAGACTGAAATGAAGTAAACACTAAAGACAACCTGAGAGAAGGTAACAGTAAGTAATTGGATTATATTTGTGTTGTGCTTGATTTTAAAACTGTAATTCCTGTTGCCCAAATTGGAGCCCAGCCATGTTTGGAGAGTTTGAACTTCATCCTACTGTCTTGGTTTGTTGCCCGTATAAGCTCTTGGGAGTTCAGATTGCGCTAAATGCTGTACGTTATTATGTCTTTGCAAGGTGTTTTCCACTATACCTTCCTACTCTCCTTTTTTCCTAGTTTTCTGAATAGCTTACAATAATATTTAAAAATCCAGTCCCTTAAATTTCCATATGGATAGAGGGAAAAAAAAACATTGTAGAAACACAGGATTTTTTTGTGAAAGGTCATATTTCCCATATTTTACTCTTTGCAATGGGCACAATGCAAGCATAATAATTATTTTTGCAGATATATAATTGTATTTTTCTTGAGATGCACAGCTTTGCATAATTATAACATTAATCATTAGCATCTAATACAGACTACGATGTTTTGTGGGTTTTAAAAGAAATTTTAAGCCATTCTTTCAAAGACTGAGGCTACAGAAACTTTTTTTGATGTTAAATATGTGTAAGGTTTCCTATAGTGATATTTCCTTGGCACAGTCACAGTGCTCCAGTAGTTCAGAACTTGAAACTTGGGAATAAGCAAGACTTTCTGATGCATCTCCAAGATCTTGCCAGAAGTGGAAACCTTTTAACTGTATGCATTATAGAAACTTTTTTTTCCCCACTTCGATTTTTCTCCTCTTGTTTCATAAGCTATCAGGAATGGCCTTTTTCGCCTCATCTTGTTGCCCAGACTACTGGTCTGCTACTTCCACAAACTGTGGTCACATGTAAATTTTTTGAAAGGATAAATTTGCCTCTTTTGGTACTGTGGCGCAAGCATTGCAAACCAGGTAAACTGCATTTCCCTTCCTCCTCACAGCCTACGGAACGGGTGACTGTGATGCCTGACTCGGAGCTAAAAGGACCGAAGCCGGCTCTCGGTAATGATCGCTCTAGGCCGGCAGCAGCAGTGAAACAGCCACTCATTGCTTTCCTTCATGTTCTTGCCGAGGTTTGTGCCGTGCAAAGGATGAAGTCTGGAGGAGGATCAAAATGCCGAAGGAATAACAGGGCCATGCTGAGGTCAGAAGTAGAATTGGGGCAGTGAGCTTGGTGGGACCTTAATTTGGCCCCATTATGCAAGCACCTTACCTTACGGTCTTTAATCCCGCAATTGCCTTTTTGCCCACCCCCAGACCCTGCTGCATTCTGTGCACAGAATCTGTTATCGGAACGAACTGAGGCTCTTCTCCTTAGGATCCTTCTATTTGCAAGATTTAGTTTGGTGAATTTGCAAGCTGTGTAGGAATGTATAAAAAAAGTGCAAGAAGACAAAAGAGAATCTCTTAATTAAGGCAGCTGAATGCTATTCTGGAAAATTGGATTTTATCCTTACAGCTGCCACAAAGGTTCAGCATGAGGTTAGTTTAATCACTTTAAACAATGCCTATCGATGCTTACTAATAGTATGCTCCCAGCCTGCTGAGTAGCCTGGGGTTGGAGTACCAAACTACTCCAATACTCAGTGAGAGCCAGGCTTTGAGTAGTTGAAGTTCCACATAATTTTAAGTAGTCCTAGGTAAAATCAGGTTCTAATATGTCACCACGGGAACCTAAAATTAGTGGATGCTTTTTTTGTGTCAGCCCGCGTACCTATCTGAAAGAGAGGGATGATGATATATTTTCAAAGAAGCGTGGAAGAAAGAAGTGCATTCAGAGAGTACACGGATGAATACCTCGGAAAACCTATGAGGAAATGGACTGTAAATTATTACAACTGGTCTTTAATACTGTTTATTAAATAGGACATAGGAGACAAAAAAAATAATTAAATACTTGCAAAGTGAGTAGTCGGCTATGCTCAGGTATGAGGCAGGGGTCCTTTAATTACATTCTCACATCATAACTGATTCACAAAGACTGACTCATGCTTTCAGAATAACCCAGTTCTGGGTTTGTAGGCAATCTCCGTTCCGGCAGCTCCTCGCTTTTGAACGGCTGTGTCACTTCAGTGCTCTGAGCTAGCGCTCTCTAATACCCCCAGGAAGAAGGTGGGTAAATGCCTTTGTAGACGGATTATTATTGCACATGCAATCTGCGGGCTGATGTTACATACGGAGCTTTTTTCACACACTTGCACGTTACTGGTGAACTTTAAAGCAAGCAGCGGGAGAGCCGCCAGCACACCTTGTCCGGGCGGGCAGCCGGCACCTCGCTACGTTCTCCCTATTAACCCAAGTTACGCCCAAGCCTTTCAAAGCCCTTCTTTTCGAAGTGTGCAGGTATTCTCTTGCCGCCATCGCTTCCCCCAACGCTCCTTCCTCTCCCTCCTCCTCCTCTCCCCCATCCCTCGGGGTGCGGAGAGCCCGGGGCAGGGCGGGCGCTGCCAGCAGGGGCGGCCGGACGGGGGCTCTTCCCTGCCGGGAGGGCTCGGCTCCCCGGTGCCCCTGCCCCAGGCTGAGCCCCGGCACCGGCTCTACTCACCGGCCAGCAGCAGCAGCAGCAGCAGGGGCGGCCGGAGGGGGAGGCGGCGGGGGGG